CTGACCTTCTCTCAGACAAACTCACCCAGCTCTCCGTGCCCACCTCCATCTGTCAGTGGATCACTAGCTTCCTGACAGACAGGCAGCAGCTAGTGAGGCTGGGCAAACTCACATCCAGGACTATCACCATCAGCACTGGCGCCCCCCAGGGATGTGTGCTCTCCCCACTGCTCTTCTCTCACTACATGAATGACTGCACTTCAAAGGACCCCTCTGTCAACCTCCTGAAGTTCGCAGATGACACTACGGCCTCATCAAGGACGGAGACGAGTCTGCTTACAGACAGGAGGTTAAAGAGCTGGCTGTCTGGTGCAGTCTTAACAACTATATTACATCCCTACTGTGTTATTCCTATGTATGTCTGCACTATCATGTATGTCTGCACTATGTTTGTACTTTCTATTACACTGGAAGCTCCTGTCGTCAAGTCAAATTCCTTGTGTGTAAACATACTTGGTAATAAAGCTCTTCTGATTCTGATTCTTTGCCTTTGACTTTCTGAAAGAGCTTCTTGGCACTCTGTAAGGCTAATGTTGTTAAAGCTACCATTGTCTCTGCCTGTTTTCACTGATGCTGCCTTCATGTTCTACCAGAATAATTGTAAATAAGAATTATTTCCCTATTTTAGGGATTTTATTTCAAAATTGCCTATGAAAGCAATGTGAAGTCGGCTACTTGAGAGTTTCTGACATTTTCAGTGTGCGAGATAGGGCTGTCAAAATTTTTTTAAATGTTGAATATTCGTCAAATTTAAAATAAAAATCCACATTCGAATGCAAAAAAATTGCATTCAAATTTTAGGTGTGCGTCAGGCAGCCTTATCAGTTGCACACGAGATGCGATGACGATGTAAGTATCATTGCATTTTAATGCTTTTTTTTTGCCTATCCAGTTGAAGCCACTAGATGCGGCGCTGCCATGTTGTACATTCAAAATATTGCGGAAAAAGAGAATAAATGTGGAGATGATGTTGTTTATGTCAAAACTGAACCCAAGCCGATCACACGGAACGCATATGCATCGCATTTTCTAGAGGGACAGCTATCACCGTTGCACTCGCATCTCGCACAAAGGAGCCGCATGTTTAGAAAGCCATGTGAAATTAATGTAGGTGCATTTTCTAGAGGGACATCTATCACCGTTGCACTCGCGTCTTGCACAAAAGAGCCGCATGTTTAGAAAGCCATGTAAAATTAATGCAAGTTTAACTTTGAAAAAACATATCTCGAGAGGGTTTTTTTCCCCACCCCACTGCAACTCATGTTTTTAATTGAAAAATGTACTCTGTGTGATTGGCTTTCGGTCCTTTGTATTAATCTATGCATACATACATGATGCTGTTTTGTTTATAGTTGTTTAAGCAACTTAATTATAATTGGTTTATAAACATTATTTTAAACATTATGAACTTATTTTTCCACAGATAGTCATGTTATCTTATGCTTTGAATAAACGTTCATTAGTAATATTTTGCTTGATGCGCCCTCTTGTGGCCTCAGGAGAGAAGCCAAAAGCTTCTCTTCACCCTAACTAAAATTATACATTTTAAATTTGAATATAATTCGAATTTTAATAATATTTAAGTACAAAATTCGAATTTCGTTTTTCAGCCATTTTGACAGCCCTAGTGTGTGATTGTTTGTTGTTGCCGGTGTCCTGGCATTTTATCCTACCTGTCAGATTGTCCTACCAGGTCTTACTGCGCATCTGCACATCAATATTACATAATTGTTCTCATGCTGAACAACAATAATTACTGTATTTGCATTACTGTAAGGGGTAGGTTTAGTGTTGGGGTAGGTGTAGACATTAATAAAACACAATCTAATAGGCAGAAATTTATTGTTGTTGTTATTAATTTATTGTTGGTTTCCGGCCATAGCTGTATCCCTTCTAGCCACAAACCTGAACAACACATAATTACTGTATTTACATTACTGTAAGGGTACGTTTAGGGTTGGTGTAGGTGTAGACGTTAATAAACCATAATTTGACAGGTAGCATTTTTCGTTGTTGAATTGAACTACCTACTGTTTTAATGGTATGTAGCAAAATCTGACAGGGTAGCACAAATCGACAGAACACCGGTATGACAGAGCATGAGCTCTTGAAGCTCCGCCCTCTTCTGAAAAGAGCACCAGCTCATTTGCATTTAAAGGGACAAACACAAAAATGGCACATTTTGGCTCATACCCTAAAAGTGGCAACTTTAACAAGCCATAAAAAATGATCTGTGGGGTATTTTGAGCTAAAACTTCACATACACACTCTGGGGAAATCAGAGACTTATTTTACATCTTGTAAAAAGGGGCATAATAGGTCACCTTTAAGGTTTTGGTTTTAAGGTTAAGGTTTTTCAGACCCCAAATAAATAAGCCAAAGAAACCCAAACTCCATTAGGTGACAGAAATGGAGAAAAAAAAACCTCAAAAGAAACCAGTCTCAGTGGGGGACCAGGACTCTTCTGATCTAAATCAACAAACATTGTCAATTATAGTGCTGCATCACAAGTCAGTTCTGTGGGCTGAAATTATTCCAAAATTTTGCATCCAGCTCCTTCAGCCTACAGATAAGTATACATCAAATCTGAATTAGGTGGAAAATGGTGACCTGAATATGTCAGGTATTGCACTCACCTTAAAGGCCATAAACTTGTGGTACGGCTTTGGTGCCCAAGCATACACTTCCACTAAATTTTTCATGGCAATAACCAAGAACTTGATTCTTTCATATTTAACTAGAATGTGACAGAAAAAGAAATTTTATGATCATATCCTACAGATTCCAGTTGTACTAACCATGTCTGACAGCTGGAAACTTTCTTACCGACTTTGTAGTGCACACATCCCTCCAGCTCCCCCACTGTTGTCCAACCCTGTTTCTTTTCCACCTCAGGGTCATTATGCAGAATCTTGTTCCTCAGCCATGAGAGATAATAAACTCGCAGTTTGTTCTTCTTTCCTGTAAAAGGGTTATGATTATAAATAACATTTCAAATATTCACTAAAGGAACGAACAAGTATTTAAACATGCTCTGACAAGTCTGTCATATATTTTCCAACCTGATATTGTCACTAGAATATTAAGACCTTCAAGAACATCCATTTGTTGAAAACGGCGTCTGTTAATAAGTGGATAAACTTTCCCCTGCCCACTGCGATCAAGGAGCATGAGGCCACTTTCAGTTCCTACCAACAGATTTACTCCTACACAGGGAAATAAGGGAAAGAGAGAGTGATAAAAAATACACAATAAGCTGTTTATTTTCTGTATCCACATATCCTATGTCCAGTGGGCTATTACTGTGTACTACATACCCCAAAGTGCAGCACAGAGAATCTCAGAATTGAACCTCTTTTTGTATTTGCGGATTTCAGGTGTGTCACTCTGTGGGCGAGTGTTTACTGGGTTTACATTCACCACAGAGCCCTTACGGGATGGGTCCAGCAGACGTCCATCATTACTAAAGCCTGCTGAGAAAATATACTCATACAATCAGCTAGTGATTTAATTGTATTTAGCTAAAATATATTCATTAATAATTTAAACATATTTCATGTTTAAATGTTTTAAGAATTTAAATGTACTTCAAGTAAAAAAAAAAAAAAAAAAAAGTATTGATTTTTCATTAAAACACTGCAAACACTGGCTCTAAATTATAAATACACATGATTAGTGTTAGGCGATATGACCAAGTAGTTTTATATATCACAATATAATGATTTTTGCTATTTTATCTTTATCATCAAAAAATAAGAATAAAGATACAAATGAAAAACAGTGCTTTATGTTTTTACAGTAGGTCTATTTAATAGTAGCATTTAAGTAAAATAATAGAGAAATTGAATAATCTGTAGTGGTCCTCACAGGGCAGTATACTGGATTTTGGTCACATGACACTTCATTTAATAGCAAACTGTGCCTCTACTTTCTCACTTCCGGTCCACGTGAGACTCAGGAGTAGTGATGTCTGATTTAATTTATTTGCATACAAATAAATAGTATATTCAATATTAGGGGTGTCAAAAAAAAATTCGAATTTTGAATATTTGTCGAATTTAAAATAAAAATCCACATTCTTGGGCACAATTTTAGGTGTGCGTCAGGCAGTATTATCAGTGGCGCACGAAATGCGACGACGATGTAAGTGCCATTGCATTTTAATGCTTTTCCTGTTATTGGTTTTCAATTCCTTAAATCTTGCTTTTTCCAGGTGCCGGGAGATTGCTGGTTTGAATCCAGGATGGGTGTGAAGAGGGGGTAAGTTGTAATGGTTTAATGACTTGTTGTTAACTCCGGTAAAGTTGTGGTTGTTTTCTTGAAATTAACTTTGGGTATATTTGGGTTTGGAAATTGTATAAGGTAGAGTTTCTAATGAGAATCTCTCCCTTTTAAAGGGGGGAGGTGTTACGGTTTTGTTTTGGGTCGTTTTCTTTTGTTTTATAGGTTACCAGATAAGGATCTACACCTGTTACCAATTCGGGACTGTATTTAAGGTGTCTGGCCTTTGTTGGAGGAGAAGCTTTCATCCTTATCCTGCAGTTGTGCTCCGAAGCTAGACCTTCACTTTGTTTTCCGTTAATTGTTTGTTTCTCTATTGTTGTTCATTTATTATCTTTATTATTTATAATCATATGATTATTTATTATCATTTAAACCCCTGGACTTAAATACATATTTTCTTGTTAATATACTTTTGGACTTCGAACCAAAAGGACTTTTGTTGTTGCTTCCTTGAGTCGGATGTAACAATTGTTCAACTATCCAGTTGAACCCACTAGATGCGTTGTTCATTCAAAATATTGCAGAAAAAGAGAACAATCAATGCGGGGAAGATGTTTACATCAAACCCGAAAGTTCACACAGAACGCATATTTATAGAGGATATATATATATATAATATATATATTCTAGAGGGACATCTATCACCGTTGCACTCGCGTCTCGCACATGAAGAAAGTACTCTTTGTGATTGGTTTTTGGTCCTTTGTATTAAACTATACATAATACATGCATGATGCTGTTTTGTTTCTAATTGTTTATGCAACTTTATTAATTATATAAGGTTTATAAACATTATTTTAAATATTATGCACTTTTTTTCAAAGATAGTCGTGTTATTTTATTATGCTTTGAAGAAACGTGCATAATATTTTGTAATATATATATATATATATATATATATATATAATAATTACAAAATTCAAATTTAGTTTTTCAGCCATTTTGACAGCCCTATTCAATATAGCAGAATATCTATCGATAGACACTTTATATTGTCACCACAACATATATTGTCACAACAAGTCTTAGGTCTTGAAGAAATACTTGTCCATGACTTCAGAATGTCTTACCCATGTTGTTGAGGGAACTGCCACTGGAAGGAGAAATCTGTAGAAGACGTGGGTTGATAAATGGGGTAAAAGAGGAAGAAGACTTGTGTTTTTGCAGTGTGTTGCTGGAAGATTGTGTCTGGAATGAATAATACAAAAAATGAGACAAGAAATAGGGTAGAACAATTTAAGGTGATGCGTTTAAGCTTCTCATTTAAAATGTTGAAAGTGGTTACTCATAAAATAAGCTAAAATCTAGTCTCTAAATTATTTACTTAAAGTTCCTCATATCTAAACTTAACATGAAATTAAATGTAACTGATGCAAGTTATGTCAATTCAAAACCAAACATGATATTCTGGTAACTAAACGGGAAGTACAGATGGCATAAAAGTTAGAAGGTTAAAGATAAAAAAGTAAAAGCAACTGATAACAGTTCAGAACTTAAAGAGTCTGGGAAATCTTCAGACTCACAAGCACCTTTTCTTTTGATTTTTTGTGGTCAGGGATGTTTAATGCAATTTTTCTTCAGAAGTTAACATTTATAAAAACTACTCTATGTAATTGCAGTGAAACAAATATGAGTAAAGTTTGATGACAACCTTTGCGAGTTAAATTAGATAAGGTGTGTGTGGGGGGGGTTGTCAAACAGACATGCAGAATTTTACAACGGTGGGCACACAGCTGTCCTTTCGAACCTTGGGACCTAATCTTAAAAGCAAAGGTTTACATAAATGTGCCTATGAAGATGTGTAGTGTCCCAAATATCGTACTTGTTGTTTTTAGTGCCCAGTCATTGTACTGTAATGTTTCAGTTGTGTGTTATAGGCTAATGGGGGACCAAAAACAGGACAAAAAACAGCCTATTACTTCTAAATTATGTTTTTTGATGTAAAAATCATGTTAACATTATAAGTGGACCTCAGAGAACAGTATAAAATTAATATTAAAAAAAGCAGTTCATGATCCCTTTAAAACTTGTCTAATATTTTGCTAACATGTTTTAGCACATTCCTAGCATGTTTTAACATGTTGCTAGCATGTTTTTAACTTATTTTAACAGAAACACATGATGTAAACTAGGGATGTCAACGATTAATCTGCGTTCGATTAATTGTCGGTAAGAGATGCAATTGATTAAAGCCATCGATGGTCGATTAAGCGGTTTCATTTTGTGGTACCTGCGGCTCATGCGCAAAACACATGCAAGCGGCTGTGAGTTATGGTGACGGTGCTGGATCTTTCGCGAAATTAATTCACTAACGTACAATTACGTTTTTAATATGATCCAAACCTTAAAAGTACATTAAAACAGAAACAATACAAAGTTCTTTTGTACTGAAATGTAATAACTAAGTCATGTTTAATTATAATTTCCCCAAATATTTGGTTCATATCGGGCTCTGGGCTTTGACAGGGCTGCGGGACATGAGCAGGACAGATAAATATTAGGCTATATATAATTCTGTATAATATAATATAATAATATATAATATTAAAATAAACCTGCGAAAATTAGAGGCTGAGACAGTGAGGATTGGGGAAAAGAAACAATAAATAATATAAAAAATCATGGAAATTCATCACCAACCAGCAAAACAGAACACAAAGCTGTGTATGGCTTTAAATGTAGGCTATCAAACGGCATGAATCCAAAAGCATGGTTATGACAAAACATTTGCCTGCTAACCCATTATTTCTCTTATAAGCAAAGCTTTGTACCTCACTTGTGTCATAATACTTGCATTAAAATGTTTCATGTGAGCAGCTGTGTGTTTTGCCACAGCACTGCCGGTGGAAGCGGTTCTCTGACCGCACAGCATAGAAACATGCGCCACAGTTAGAAAGTGACAAAGAAAGTGAAAGTGACGTGACATGTGACCAAGTATGGTGACCCATACTCGGAATTAGTGCTCTGCATTTACCCATCCAAAGTGCACACACACAGCAGTGAACACACACAAACCGTGAACACACACCCGGAGCAGTGGGCAGCCATTTATGCTGCGGCGCCCGGGGAGCAGTTGGGGGTTCGGTGCCTTGCTCAAGGGCACCTCAGTCGTGGTATTGAAGGTGGAAGAGAGCGCTGTACATTCACTCCCCCCACCTACAATTCCTGCCGGACTTGAGACTCGAACTCGCAACCTTTGGGTTATGAGTCCGACTCTCTAACCATTAGGCCACGACTTCCCCCATTCATGACGTTTGGGATCATTTTAAATGCCAATAATGTCAATTGCAAACATTGCGATTGAGTTTTAAAATACAACAACGAGCACCATGAAACCATTTAAAGAGGCGCGTTCAACGTCTCCGTGACGGGATATGAAACAGCCAACAAAGTATAAATGATCCGTAACTACGGCGTGCTCTCTTCCATTTTCTCAAATGATCATAATCACATCTCATTTTACAGTCCTGCTACTAGCCTTTTCTTTAGAATAAAACCCCTTTAATTCGTGTGAAGAAGCTGGCATTTTTTTGAGTGGCATTTGCACATCCTGTCATGCCAGTGACTGTATGCCACTGCAATATGCATTTTGCAGTATTATGGTTAACAATTAATTGATTAATTGATCATTAATTTAAAGGCAGGGTAGGTGATTTGGTTAAAAAAATGTTTTATTATGCTGGTTGAAAGTCTCTTCACATCTCGATAGCACTCATTAAGTTAAGTGGTTTAAATGTATTATATGTATTTATATTGTCTGTGGAAGGCGTAGGACCCAAAAAACTTCGTACAATCAAAACATTCGGTCCGAACATTATGATAGGCTGTCCTGCCTGCCTGTCAAATATGTATTTGCACACCTCTGCGCACCCTGTTTGCGCAGACATGATACGTCATCAGCGCATTCCAGCAAGAATGAAAGGCGCTATTATTGTAATATTATGCGCTTTGTACTGTAAAGTTTTGTCACCGGTGAATGAGACGTGAAGTAATCTGACAGGGCTGCATTCAATCCTCCACCAACGCCATCTCTCGTCGTGTTGCAGGTTAGTCTCTGGTCTGCCTGAGCGCGTTCGTGTGTTTTGGGGGAGGCGTGGTTTGCAGCGTGATTACGCAGGGAGGGTGGGGATCTTGCTTTCAAAGCTAACGTGCTATCGCTAGTCTTTCCTAAATTGCCTACCGTATTCTTTAAACGACGATCGATCATGGAAATAATCGAAAAATTACATCCCTAATGTAAACATACAATCACAAACTGAAACTCTGAGTTGCCGCATGTACCTAACATTTTGTGATGTTGCTTCAACTTTGCTTTTCAAACTGGACGAACGAAATGGCTAAGAAAAAGGAAAAAATATCCAGTTTCCCCTTAATAATAGACACTATGACTACTATCATTGTTTTCAGTGATCTGCAACTTGCATATATCTGTTAACATATCAAAAAATGTGTTTTAGGGTTTCACGCTGCTTAACGATCCACTGCAGGGCCTCATCTGTGTGTTCCAGAATCTGGGACACTCTTTGCATCCCACAGTCAAGGGTGTAGAATTTAGTAGGGACGCTAGGGACATGTCCCTACCAATATCCAGCAACTACTAAATTGTCCCTAGCAATAATTTTGATCAAACAATTAAATATATGTATAGCCTATGTAACCACTGTTGTTGTGATTTAACACATTAATAAAACCTACTATGTACAGACAAGCAGAAGAGCCCAGAATATGAACTCAGCACACAGCACTATAAAGGCCCGTTCACACCAAGAACGATAACTATAAAGATAACGATAAATATATAGTTCTAAAAATCGTTATCAATATTAAAGAATAGCAGAGAGTCCACACCACAGCTATAACGATAAAGGCACAGAGAAACTATATCGTTGGAATCACTTTCAGAACTATTTTTTTCCAGCTGTTGAACGATACAAACATTGACAGCTGAGAATTTAAAGCAGCAGACGAGCGCGCACTTAGAATAAACAGACGATATCGTCCGCTGGTGTGGATGCTAATATCGTTATCTTTATAGTTATCATTCTTGGTGTGAACGGGGCTTAATGCTCTATCACTCTAAGGCTTATAATCAAAATTGTGTAATTATTGTCTGCTGAACATGCTAACATAAAAAAACACTCTCTTTATGAATCATGAGCATGTTGGCTACCATGGGGGGTTGCTGCTGACATGTCCCCACCAATGTCAAAAATCAAACCTACGCCCTTGCCCACAGTGCTTCAAATTCATCTGCTCATCTTTACCACAATATAAGTTTCGACCATAATCTTTACTGCAATAAGTAACTTTCAACCACACCAAGGAACAACATTGAACTGCCTGAAATCAAAGATGTTACTAATTGAAATCAAATTCAAACTGTATATTTCTCAATATCAACACAGTCGCTTAAATGACTAATAGTTACATTTGGAAAATGTTAAACTCACATCAGACTCTTTGGCAACCAACTACTGTTCCACTTAAGACAACTGATCTTCTCTACATTCACAGATTCCCTCTGATTACCAAGTGAGGCTTGCGACCTGAAATAAGCTAAAAAAAAAAATGCTAGAAACATGCACCGATGAAAGGTCTGTTGTGTACTGCACCATCAACTGTATGAAAAGCTGTTCTTTCAGTCTGACAGATATTCATTTTGCTCTTGCTATGAATAGACCCATCGCTTGTGATTTCTTGTGTTTGGTGGGAAAAGGACTTCACCTGCTACCAAGACCTCAAAAAATAATGGTTTTGTTAGAAGCAGTCAGAATAGTAGAGCCCACAGGAAGACAGCAGCAGAATTCAGTGCCAAGGGCAGGGGACATACCTCACTGACTATCAGCATGTCCATGGGAATCTGGGGGGACATGGATGGGCTGGCATGACTGGATGAGGGGGAGGATGAAGGGGAGTGATGGCTCTGCTGGATGAGATCAGGCAGCAGGTGAATGCGGCCTGCATAGCAGTTTCTCTCCTGGTGGCTTTGACTGTGTGAAGTGCTCAAACCTGGACCCAGACTGGGCCCGGGAATGGGACGCAACTGCTTTCTCTCAGCTATGCTCTGGAACCAAGAACAGGGACAGTTCAGTCTGAACTCAGCTAAAAAGAGAACGAGGGTCTGAGGGAAGGAATGCTGTATTCTGTAGAAGTCATCAGCTTAAACACTGTATTTGACTCATTTGTTTCTTATCTTGCCCTGCTCTAAATAGTACACCTTTTTTTTTTTTTTTTTTTAGACAAAACATAACCCAAAATAAAAAATCAGCACAGAAATGATGGGAAAAATATGGAACACATGAAGACAAAATATGTGATATGATATATGATATGAGACAATGAAATTGAGTTGAATTGAGAAAAATTGTTACAATACCTGTCTAACGATTAAAGTTACATCATTGCTAGGTGTGGTGGCTGGATCACTCTCTGATTCATCATGAATAAGCATGGTTTTCACTGACTCTGTTTCACCATTAGTCAGCTTTGATGAGCTGGAGAGGAAAAACAATTCATCTTAAGATTTGTGGTTTCCTGTATGGTTTCCCGAGTAGTGTTTTAATTAATGGGACTGTGTCACATACCATGTCCTTGAGTCCTCTGCTCCTGAAGTGGATTCATCACCCTGCTCCTGCTCCACCACATCATCATCATCTACATCTGAATCTAAATCTTCACTCGATGAGGAGTAATCTGTCACCTTATGATGAGGTCGCACATCTTCCACTGCACGTAGCTCCTTGGCCAGAGCAGTGAGATCCTGGAGGTTTGGGAAAAGTTTACATGTAAGAGTCTTTGTCAACAGCACTCTTAAATTGATTCCTCTCTTTCTTTCACACTGAAAAGTTGTATTTATTGCAATAGGCTCATTCCGTGCCAAATCAACCAAATTTCAGAAACTTCCTTAGTTTGCTAATATTTTTTCTGAAGAAAGATATACATGTATAGTGATGAAATCCAAAATATTAAATGTCATGGATGAATATTTACTGAGTAATCCACTATTTTGTAGAGGGGGGTCAAAATGGCAATTTTCACCTGAGATTCAGAGCCAAATTACAGGGGGGTAAAAATGACTTCAGAAAGATGGCAGCATCATAAGGTTACTTTTACACAGAGATTTGTAGTTGTATTAGTAAAATCGGTTGACTTTAGCAATCTTTGTTACATTATGTGCCAGTGATGACCATTCAAAAATGGGGAAGTGGCACTTTTCAAGTTTTTACTCCAAAGTTTGCAAGCCTGTAACTCAAGAAGTATTAAAGATATCATAATGTCCTTTTAGATGTTGGGTGTCAACAAACTTTCCTTTTGGCATCTTCATTTTTAAGGCCCTATATGGTTCGGTTCCAGAGATATTGGAATTTCAATATGGCTCCAGGGGTAAATCATTAAACTGTACACATTTTCAATGGTAAAAAAAATCCAATGTGGGTCAATTTGCAAAAATATGATGCTTCTTTTCTTTTAAAGAGAAAGAATGTCTGAAAAACAAATGTTGTTTCCTTCCGTCAAAACAACTGCGTTAAACATACCTGTCTGAATGCCATAAATGTTCTTTTTCCAAAGTTTGCGTGCATATAACTCAAGAAGTATTAAAGATATTGTCATATGATTTTATATTGTAGTTCTTAATAAACTGTTCTTTTTGAATCTTCATTTTCAAGGCCCTGCATCATTCAGTCCCAAAAATATGGGGATCTCAATGAGGCTCCATTTTCAGATTGTTGAATATTCTCTATTTTCAAGCATTTCAGTGCTTGAAAACCAAATGTTGGTCACTTTATGTACAGCTGATACTCATTGTATTTCAAGTGTAATGTCTGTAGAATAAGTAATGCTGAAACTAGAAATGTATCTTGTTTCCCTCTATCAAATCAATTGTTTTCTTTTGGAATCTTAATTTTTAAGGCCCTGTATGGTTTAATCCCAGAGATATTGAGATCTCAGTGCAGCTCCATGTCCAAATTTAGTATCCTACCCATTTTCAATTGTCAAAAATCAAACATGGTTTTGTGTTTATTTTGTCATCACTGTTGACAATGCAAATAATAACAGTAACCCAGGGTTTAGGAATGTACAGTGTGACACGTGAAAGTATGAATGACCAGGATTAATTGGGATTAATTGTTAACTCTAGGTAAAGTATGAACAGTGTGAAATGCAAAATAACATTAGGGTTTAGAATTACCCAGTGTTAATTATTTCAAGTGTAAGAGGCCTTCAGTGTTTGAGGTACTATCAGTGATTCTGCAAAATATTTCCTTTAGCAGTAGATATTACTTCGATCTATAACTGCTTCACATTTTATAACAATAAAAAGAAAAAGAAATTCAAATAATTAATCCAGCTGGGGTAAAGTTTGGTTTATTGATGTGAATGCAATGTGTGGCAAAAGCAACCACACTTCTCTATGAGGCGTGGGATTTTATTAAAACGTTACAATACTGCATGCTTAAACTCTTGGTAGCTTCAGAAGCTGTTAAACTGAACAAAATCCCTTCTTCCAAATACCCCTGATTCAAATATAGAATCTTATGAATAGACTACAGAGAGCAAGGTAATGTGCCTCATCTTGACCATTTCAGTGAATTTTTAGCACTGTGTTCTATACATATTGTTTTGATAGAGGGAAACAAGATACAATTCTAATTTCAACATTATTTATTCTTCAAATATTGTTTTTTAAATTAAATAAGTATCGGCTGTATACAAGTGTGTGAACAACATTTGGTTTTCAACCACTGAAAATGGGTAAAATTCAACAATCTGAACATAGAGCTTCATTGAGATCCCCATATCTCTAGGACTGAACGATGTAGGGCCTTGAAAATTAAGATTCCAAAAGAAAAGTTCATTAAGAAATAAAATCTAAAATCATATTGTGATATCTTTAATACTTCTTGAGTTAAAGGCACGCAAACTTTGGAAAAAGAATATTTATGGCACTCAGACAGGTATGTTCAATGCAGTTGTCCTGACAGAATGAGATACATCTATATTTTCAACATTATTTGTTTTTCAGACATTCCTCTTTAAAAGAATATAGTCTCATATTTTTGCAAATTGACCCACATTGGGTTTTTGACCATTGAAAATGTGTACAATTTAACGATTTACCCCTGGAGCCGTCATTGATATTTCAATATCTCTGGAACCGAAACATGTAGGGCCTTAAAAATAAAGATGCCAAAAGGAAAGTTTGTTGAGACCCATTAACTAAAAGGGCATTAAAATAGCTTTAATACTTCTTGAGTTACAGACATGCAAACTTTGGAGTGAAAACTTGAAAAGTGCTCTTTCCCCATTTTTGAATGGTCATCATTAGCACATAATGTAACAAAGACTGCTAAAGTCAACAGATTTTACTAATTGAACTACCAATCTCTGTGTAAAAATAACATTATGATGCTGCCGTCTTTCTAAGTCATTTTTTTACCCCCTTGTAATTTGGCTCTGAATCTCAGGTGAAAATTGCCATTTTAACCTCCCTCTACAAAATAGTGTATTACTTAGTAAATATTAATCCATGACATTTAATATTTTGGCTTTCATTGTGTGCATTGAATTTATTTAATACACGAGTTTCACAATTTAAGTTGAATTACTGAAATAAATGAACTTTTCCACAACATTCTAATTTATTGAGATGCACCTGTACATGTCTACCTTTGTTCAGAAAAAATATTAGCAAAATCAAAAATTTGAGCCGGGGAAATCTGGTTGAGTTGACACGAAATGACTCAATAATAATTTGTAGATTACTCAGCCAGTCAATAACATAGTGCAAGGTAGTGGCAATTCAGGAATGTTGATAGGGCCTAAAGATGCGTCAGTATGGAAGTTCTAAGAGGCCATGCATTATTTTTTTCTTTATTGTTTTCTCGTAATCACAATTTTCTCGTGATCACGACATAAAAGTTGTTTTCTCATAATCACAACAATTTTCTCGTGATCCCGACTTATTTTTCTCGTGATCTCGGCATAACAAAAGTTGTTTTCTCATTATCATTACTTATTTTTCTCATGATCTCGACATAATTAGTTCTCCAAGTTACATAACTGCAGAGGGCCATCTTCGTGATTGCTATAATTTGTGTAGTTCATTACTGACATTATTAAATATTAAATTCTTGAATAAATATGATCATTTTGCTTGAAAGTTGAAAGATCATTATTGTTATGTTATTACTGCTGCATGTCTCATCACAGTTTCACATTTACAATGACATATTTGTAATCTGTGTTCTTATTTTTAACCTTTATTGATAATAAATGTATATTGATCAGACATGTGTATCATTTAGTTCAGTGATTTTATAGCCTACAGTGTTGTAGCCTAATCTTTTGTATTTTCTATATTTCTTTGTAGGAAACCACACACACAATCACACATAAACACTCTTCTCAAACAGCAACCCAAGCTTGTATCGCACATGATATCACAGCCTATCCTACATGACTAATAAAAATCAAACAAATTATAATATATTATTATACATAATTTTATTTCAAACGCATGAGGAAAATAAAGTGAGTTGAATCCAAGCAGCTTAAGATTTTTAGAATAGGATAGTTCTTCTCTGTATTCTTCTGCCTGCGCTTGCGGTGTTGAATGCTTTGTTAGACCTTTTAAGAATGTTAATTACACAAATAAAATGTTTAGCGTAGCCTAACTCTGGAAAAATAAGCAGTGTTTGATTAGCCTACTTTTATTTTATTTATTGCAGACGTTATTTGAAGCAAATTTTGCTGAAATATCCACAAGAAATAGTATAAAAGCACACTGTTATCTGTCGAGATGCGCCTCAAAGGGGACATTCTTAATGCTTAACATGGCTCAATGCATTAAGTGAGTGTAAAACACCAAACTCAGTAAACACATTATTAATAAATTATACTGTGTACAGACGAGTCCAGGATGCAAACGCAACTCATTTTTCTTATAATGGTTTTCTATGGGCAAAACGTTTAACACGTTAGACGCATTGCGCTCTTATTATGGGCTCATTTGTTTGTAGAACAATGTACATAGAATGCTTTATTAATGATGTGTTTACTGAGATAGACCTTTTAAAAACACTGCCTTAACACATTAAGCCATGTTAAGTGTTGTCCGTATGTTATTCTATGGGAGGAAAACACTTAACGTGTAACTAAATGCATTGTGTTCTTATTATGGGCTCATCTTCTTGTCTGTACATAGTATGAATTACTAATAATGTGTATACTGAGTTTGGCCTTTTAAAAACATTCTCAATTAATGCATTAAGCCAGGATAAGCATTATAGAATGCCCCCGTCAAGGATGCGTTCGTTATTATACCAACAGTAGACTCATGATGCATTGTTGTTGTTGTTTTTTTTTTTTAAATCAAACAATCATTGAGTACCTTTACATGGACAAAACAATCCGATTTTAACACGATTAAGACAATACTCTGATTGAGAATCTACCATGTAAACAGAGATGTTTGATTATCTTAAAGGGGTCATATGATGCGATTTCAATTTTTCCTTTCTCTTTGGAGTGTTACAAGCTCTTCTTGGTGCATAAAGAAGATCTGCAAAGACTAAAGTCTAAAGTATTTACAACACTGTTCCAGAACACTTCAACCCAAATATTCAGATGTGTGCAGCACATTTTATGGAGGACTGTTTACTGATCCTGGTAGAGTAGACTACAATGCCGGCTGTTCTGACTCACAGATTGTAAGTAAGTTTTTTTATATTTAAAGAGTTTTTATATTTTATATTTAAA